GGTCTCTGGCCCCTTGGCGCGCAGGGCTAGGAACTGCTGGCCATACTCCTCCATCTGGTCCAGCGCGGCCAGCTGGGTGGTGTTCAGCTGGTGGCGCAGCTGGATGGGCTGGTCGGGTCTGGTGCTGCGGTAGGCGAAGCAGACCAGCCGCTGCCAGACCTGGCAGTACTGGCGATAGGTCTTCGGCCGGAGGTGGATCTGGATGGGCCGGTTCCAGACCCCGGGCTCGCGAAAGAAGGTATTGATCTGGACCTGGTCAAATTCATTGATCTGGCCGCTCCGGATGGTCTGGTAGGCCTGCCAGATCAGCCGCTCGACACTAGCACTGAATAGGGCAAGCAGGGGCTCCTGCACTGGGTCCGCTGGGCATCCGAGCAGGGCCACTGCAGTTAGATCCTGCCCGCGTAGGTACTCTGGCCAGCGGGTCAGCTCCAGCCAGGGAGAGACCTCAGTTGGGTGGCCTTCTAGGCTAGGGACCTGGCCATTTACTAGCGTAGCTGCCGCCTCCGCCTCCCGCAGGGCCTGGTCTATATGAGCGCGGATGCGCTCAGCAGGGGTCTGGGGGGCGGCTAGCAGGGCCTGCTGGCTTGGCTGGGCAGCGCAGGTCACCTCAAAGAAATGGCTCCCTGGCCCAGCACGGTAGAACCGCTGGCAGCTAACCACACGATCTGCCAGGCGGGCCTGGGCCCGGGCCTGGGCCCGAGCTGCTGAAAGTTTACCCTGGCCCCAGTATCCATCCTGGTCCTTATGTTTCCGGGCACGGTGGTCCTGAAGCCCGGCCAGGGCCCGGCAGATGTAGGGGCAGTGGGGGCACCCACGCCCCTGGTACACTGGCAGGCCTGGCACGGGGGGGTCCCCAGTGGAGGGCTGGGGGCAGGGCCCCTGGCTCGGGTCTGCCCATGGCCGCTGGAGCATCTCGGTCAGCACCACCTGACAGAGAGCAGGCGTGGCCACAGTAGGATGGGACCGGTGGCGGGTGCGGAGGTGGCCCAGTAGGGTCCGGGGTGAGACGGCATACTGGCAGCGAGGTGCGGTGCAGATCCAGACCTGGTAGGTGGGATTGTAGAGAAATAGGTCCATTTAAAAGGAGAGGAGGATATATACAGTAAGAGGAGAATAGAGGTGAAACTAGATCACTACTAGTTAGGATATATTAGGTATGCGACATAGAAACATAACCTGGATAGGTGGACCTTGGGAACACTGAACACGGCCTGGAAATATGACCTAGAAACACACGACCTAGAAACACAACCTAGAAACACGACCTGGAAACATGACCTTGGAAACGCGACCTTGGAAACGCGACCTGAAACACAAGCTAGGAAGCTAATTCACACAGTAAAGTGATTAGTTAGTGATTAGTGATTATATCAGGGCGAAGGCGTGGATCTAGAGTGCTGAGGTAGGAAACATGGGCAGCACCATATCAGGGGGCTGTATCCCCACGCACGCACACACCGGGAGCACGCGCGGCGGATACGAGGGGGGAGCCAGGGCAATGGACCAATCAGGGGGCGCGCAAGCCCATCGAGGGCAGGACGGTTCAACCCCTGGGGAACAGGCAGTATGGTGATGCCGGGTTGTAGTAGCAGTGAAACTTGATACTATCACCATCTTCTAGTTGCAAATGAACGGTGCCTCGGCCAAGGGTCCTTCCCTCAGCCCCCGCGGCTGAGCCATACGTATACGGCTTCTCATTGGTTCCCCATGGTGTGTAGTCTATGAAGTCGCTTAGATCGTTGGAGATATGGCCACTAGTGCCTGTATCTGCAATCCAATTGGATGGTCGACGTATAGCCAAGTGAGCTTCTCCTTGATAAGGTTCGTCAGGCGCTTCCTGCGGCTGGTCTGCCACTGCAGCACCATAGAAACGTGTTGTGATTGGTCCATCTTCTTCATCAGATGTGTCATCAACTGCCGCATTCATGGTTCTGGTGGTTTTGCTAGTAGCCGGTACGGCCCAGGTGCCCTTCTTTGGCTGCCATGTTTCGGGCCGTATCTCGGGAATCAGATACCAGCAATTGGATGGTGCATGCTGGCCTCTTCGGCAATAAGCACATTTCCCTTCTGGTTTGCCTTTAGCGAGCCAATCAGATAGCCACTTTTGCAGGTCTTCGCCTAGCTTAGGGCCTCTCCGGTTCGGTATTGCTGGGCCCTCGCTTGCAGCTCGCCTATTGGGCTTCTTTGATTGGTTCTTGGTGTGCGTAGATGGTGTGATTGGCTGCTTAGCCGATGGAACTGCTGCTAGGCCTCAGTTCAATATAAGGGCTTGATCTTTAGCGTCCTGGCAGATGCGGAGAAATTCGGCTTGGTCAATCTTCTCAGTAAGATCATCGTGCTGATAGCTCATCATAAGCGCGTCGCACCAGTGATCTAGCTCGGGCCGTAGATTCCGAATCAGTAAGATAAGTGCCTGGTGTGGCTCGATCTTGTATTTCAGACTATTCGACGCGTGTATTCGACGAATCAGCTCATCTATAAAGTGATTTAGGTTAGCGAAATCATCTCTCTGGATGAAGATCACGCTTTCCCATACAGCCCAGGCGCGATTGACGCCTCTCCCCCGCAAAATCTGCGTCAAAGTGGATATAACCTCATCGGCGTAGTCCCAGGGAAGTGCCGATTCTCAGACCGATCGTAGCATATTGGTTGAGATATTGAGTATCAACCATTTCCGAATCTGCTTAGATAGTCGCCGCCATCTCGCATAGTTTGGATCTTTCGGTTTCGGCCTCGGTATCGTCGGGTCGATTAACCGGCTTAGATCATAGAGATCTAGCGTCAATTGGACGTATGTGAGCCAATCATCTAGCTCATCATCGCCATTCAGAATTGGTATGCCGTCTAGTTTGACGTCATCCGTTGGAAGCTCGGCTGCTTGGTTCTCTGGAACTGTTTCTTCAGCAGCTGGTTCGGTTCGGCCTGAGGCCGGAGTAGGCTCGGAATCACTGGCTATCTCAGCCCCCTCAGCGGGGGCAGCGTTCCGATTGCCTGATTGGTTGGATCTAGTGCCAGGCATGTTTGAATAGCTTCAATATCGCTCAGAATGGAAGGAGAAGGGCTCATAACCTGACGTAGCACTGAGATGGTTGGATTCCCTAGCTAGGAGGCCTAACCAGCGGTGAGATAGGGGCAGCGGGCTGACTAAGGTAGTAGAGGTCACGTGACCCTACGACATAGTATATAACTGTGTAGTACACGTAATCCACGGCTGAGTGATGAATATGACTGAGTGACGAGTTTTCGTTGCACCCATCAAAATACTCAAACCAACATTCAACAACGCGTCAGATTTTCATTATGCTCATACAAAATGCCCTTATCCCAAGAAAACCGCATGCAAATGGCTATCTCTGCCTATAAAACGCAAAAAATTAAATCAAAATTGAAAGCTGCTGAAGTATTTGGCGTATCTAAGGCTACCCTTTGCCGTCAGCTTAAAGGAACAAAACCACACGTAGAAACACGCGCTAATGGCCATAAATTAACAGCTATTGAAGAGGAGGTCCTTGTAAAGAGAGTGCTAGATGCAGATAAGTGAGGCTTTTTAATTCAGCCAGAGTTTCTGCGTGGAATGGCGCAGATTTTACTTCGTGAACGCTCCTAAGATTCTACCACAGTGCTTGGAGTCAACTGGGCCTATTCCTTTATTAAACGCCATCCTGAATTACGTGCAAGATATAATTGAAGAATTACATACCAGCGTGCAAAGCAGGAGGATCCAAAGGTTATAAAACAGTGGTTTGAAACTGTACATGGAGCTATTCAGGAACATGGCATCTATGAAGATGATATCTGGAACTTTGATGAGACTGGCTTTGTAATGGGGCTCAGTACTACTTCAAAGGTTATTACATCAGTGGAACGCAGTGAGAGACCTCGCAGAGTTATCCAGGGAAACCGCGGATGGGTTACAATCATTAAATGTGTGGGCTCAAAAGGGATCTCTATCCCACCAGCAGTTATCCTAAAAGGGAAGGAACACCCAGCTGCTTGGTATCAAGAACTTAATCTTCCTCCAGACTGGAGGCTTACCAATAGCACCAATGGCTGGACAACAGATGAGATTGGCCTTAAGTGGCTGAAGCACATATTCAACCCCTTTTCAAGACAATATTCAACTGGTGCAAAAAGGCTACTTATTCTGGATGGCCATTCAAGCCATCTATCTGCTGAATTTGATGATTTCTGCAAAGGGAATGCAATTATCTGTCTCTGTATGCCTGCGCATACATCTCATCTTCTCCAACCCCTAGATGTTGGGGTTTTTGGGCCTCTTAAGCGCGCATATGGGAAACTAGTTGAGGAGATGATGATGGCTGGAAACAACCATATTGATAAAGAGGATTTCTTATATCTATACCCTCCTGCACGTGAAGCAGTCTTTACTCAACAGAATATATGCAATGGCTTCGCAGGAGCTGGTCTTAATCCACTTGATATAGACTGGGTCCTTGCTAAGATTACCTTTCAACTCCGTACGCCAACACCACCTCTTATTGATATTGAAGGGTCAATATCTTCTGCTTTTCAGACACCCCAGAATGCTCGCCAGCTTGATAAAAAGGTCCGCAGTCTACAGAAAAGTCTTCAGAAGAAAAGGACACTTTCTAGCAGTCTGATATCACATATTCAGCATCTTGAAAAGGCTGCGCAGATGGCAATGAATGCAAACCTTCTTCTACAACAAGAAATCAAGGTTCTACGGGCTGAGAATGAGCGGAAAATGAAGAAGAAGGCAAGGAAGCGTATTAATCTAGGGAATAACCTCTTTATATCTGTGCAGGAAGGTCGTGACCGTATTTAGCAGGTTGATGAGCAGGTTGATGAGCAGGTTGATGAGCAGGTTGATGAGCAGGTTGATGAGCCTATACCTATATCTCGTCAGCGCGCTCCGCCAACCTGTAGTGGATGTTGGACTATTGGACATACTAGAAGAAGTTGCCCTAATAAATAGCCATATATTCAGCTAGTAGATAGTCTAATTAATGACGTTGGTGGTTGAAAAGCTTCAAAGATAGGATGATTTGCGGCAAAAATTCGCGGTTCGGTCGTATTCACGGCTCAGCCGTGGGTTACGTTACCGGTGAAATATAACGTCAGCCAGACCTCGAATGCGGCCCCGTGCAATAACGTATTCGGTAAGCGAGTCGGCCACGTAAGCGAGTCGGCCACCCCCATCAAGAATCACCACCCCTTTGAAACCAAGGCTATTCAGCCATCCATATCACCACGAAAAATGCCCAAATCATCAAAATCCTTGGTGGAACGAGAGGGGAGGATCTCCTTAGCAGTTAAGGCTATTCAGAATGGCCAAATCAAATCAGTTCGTGAAGCTGCTCGTGTCTTTGAAGTTCCCCGGTCAACACTTATTATTATTATTATTATTAATTTCATTCACGCGTCTGTCAGCCCTATCGGCCGAGTGGCGGCAGGTCCCTGCCGGCGGCTGGGTACGCCGCTACTACCTTACATACACTTGATCCACAGCGAGCATGAATTCGTCCCTAATACCCCTGTAGATGCGCCCAGTGTAATGCCCGTTGCTCCTATCTTCGCGTCTAGATGATCCAACCACCCCGAGAGGTGTCTAGCCTAGTGTTCTCCCTCGTCAAATAAGCACTGCAAGCGAGCCGTGGCGGTACACAGGTTAGGGGTCGCCACCCGTATTGCTAACCCGGAATGTGTCTGGTAAGCCCTGGAACTGGCCTAGGAGCCTCGTAGCAATCATGAAGCGGGCGGCTCGCCGTACTGACTCAGGCTCGCGAAGCAGGCGAGCGTAGTCAGTCTCCCGTGAGTGCTGCCAGACCGTACGGAGCCGGAGCCCCGCGTAGGTCGGGCAGGTGATCAGTATATGCTGAACATCTTGACGGCCTAGGCCGCAGGTACAATCCACCGTGGGCATCGCCCCGAACAAGCCGAGATAGCTTGCCAGCGCGATCTTACCAGTCTGCATCTGTATCACCACTGAGCTGGCCGCGCGCTTCAAGCCCACATGGAGCTGGAGCACAGCGCGGCTTGGGGCTGTAAAGATTCTCCGTAGGGCTGCGCCATGAGCATGATTGGCCCAGAACCGGTGCCAGTGCTCCCTCATCGAGGCCTGGAGGCGGCGGCGTAGTGAGGCGTAGAGCACTGGCCCTGCCGGCTCGCCGTCACCC